ACTCCTCTCGGATTCTGGGAGCTCAGTCGTATGCCACAAGGTGTTACGAATGCACTGAGTACATTTCGACGACTTATGGTAAAGTGTATGCGAGATCTGCACTTGAAAGAGGTTCTTGTGTTCCTCGATGATTTGATTGTCATTTCCCGGACGTTGGAGGAACATGAACATCGGTTGATAAGTGTGCTCAAGCGATTGAAGGAATATGGTCTCAAATTGTCACCAGAAAATGCAAATTTTTCCAGACATCAGTGAGATATTTGGGACACATAGTATCTGCGCAAGGAGTGGAAACTGACCCTGAGAAAATAAGTACACTCAAATCCTGGCCAACTCCCAAAACCCTGAAGGAACTGAGATCATATTTAGGATTTGCAGGCTACTACCGGCAGTTTATTAAAGGTTACGCTACTATAGCGAGACTGCTAAACGAGCTGACTCGAGGCTTTATATCAACTCGCTAGTCTGCATCCAAAAAGACCCGTACCATGGCAAAGTCCCAAGATGCAAAGAAGCCTTTTGGAGAGCGCTGGACTGCTATATGTCAGCAAGCCTTTGAGAATTTGATCGATAACTGACAACTGCACAAGTTCTGGGATTTGCTGACCCCAAGCTGCCATACATCCTTCATACCGATGCTAGTGTCACCGGACTCGGGGAAGCTTTATACCAGGAACACGAGGGACAATCTCGGGGTAATAGCGTATGCTAGCCGTGGGTTATCGTCAAGTGAATCAAGGTACCCAGCACACAGACTTGAGTTTCTTGCGTTGAAGTGGAGTGTCACGGAAAAATTTCACGACTATTTGTATGGGGCCAATTCCACAGTGGTTACAGACAACAATCCCCTCACGTACATCCTCACCTCAGCGAAACTGGATGCCGCCAGTCACCGATTGCTTGCTGCTCTCTCTACTTATAAATTTAAGAGCAAGTTCCCTCTACAGCAAGGCAAGAGTTTCCGGATTTAGCTCTTATGCTCAGGGAGCTGAGCCGCCTTGAGCTGCAGGATGGCATCTTGTACAGGAAGAGATGGGAGGGAGGGAAGGGGTTGTTCCAGCTGGTTCTACCTGAAGAGCTGAGATCCATGGTTTTTACCAGTCTTCACGCAGACATGGGCCATATGGCTGTGGAAAGAACTCTTGGCCCAGTTGGCTGGGGAGAGGGAAGTCTGGGCCTCTCGACTTAGGCTACTGCCCCCGCAACCCGACTCCGGATAAGTGGATGAAAATGGATGGATGGATGGACAAATAACATAGATTTACATGTAAGTAGTTTAAAATGAGTGCTGTGCTGTTTGAATGTATAAACTGAACGCCAAGAGAAATCACTAGTCTGATTTTTTTCTGTCAATAAAATAATTATGTCAGGCAGGAGCGTCTCAGGATCTGTCTGAGATCTGTCTCGGTGAGACAGATAATAGCAGTCAAAAGTGCTTTTTATGTGTGATTTGGTAATTGATCAACCATTGCTTAAAAATTAAATACAGCTTAGCCTGTTAATTGCTGTGATCATAAAACACGTAAACGGCAGCACGCAGAACTCACAAGGCAATGTTTTACGTGTTTTTTACTTGTTGCTATGAGTAATAAGACAGAAAAAGCCACGCCAAAATAAGTTTAGGAAGCCCACTAAGAATCGTAATAAAAGCATTTAAAATAAATACCATACACAGTTGAGGAAATGTTGGTTTAAGTACCTGATATGAAGTGGTCGCTGCATAAGTGAAAACCATCTGTGAAAACCTTTACTCTCGGGATCCCACAGTTTCATTTTAGCCCGGTCACTAGCGCGTTTTATTACAATGATCCAACGTTTGCGGCGCTCCAGATCTTGGGGAATCCTGTAGATGGCTCATTCCTTATGTCGTCCGCGTCTGTTCTGCATCCTGGGGCACAACAGGAATCTACCATATTTCCCATTTGATTGAGTTTTCTGACAATAACAAATAGTCCAGCTTCGGGCTTCTGCCTGCCAATATTGCACCGTTTCGATTTGAACTGTTGCATGCCGAGAGAAGTGACGTCAACTCCCGGAGCTCTATTGGATTACTGGAGAAGATAAACCAAACTCCGTGTTCTGCAGCTGGATATCAGAACCGGAGGTGCAGACATGGTTTGGACCGTTTCACTCAGAAAACCCGCGGCCTGATTAAGACACCGGGGAGGATTCTGTTCGTCTTCGGAACCAAAATCGGTACAGTTTGTTAAAGTTTGTCATATATTTCATGTCTGTGCTCCACCGGTAGCTTTCAATTAAGTTCTCGGCTGATTAGCTCCATCATATTGTCCCAGTATGATTCGGTAATCTACAGATGAGTAAAATAAGGTGTTGCCAGCTTTACCGCTGTGTGTATTTATTGATATAACATCGGAAAATATTTAACCGATTGCCAATGCTAACTCGCTAGATCGGATCGTTGTTTTCTATCCAGGATGACAACTGGTCCTATAGGAAGATCCATTGTTGAAAAATGGTAATCATCTTTTAGATGTGTGTGTGTGTGTGTGTGTGTGTGTGTGTGTGTGTGTGTGTGTGTGGTAGCTTTCACAAATTACTTGTTCTTTACTGGAGCTAACACGGTTTGTGCTGCGGCAGTCATGCTGACGGGACTCGCCTGCTGGAGTCCAGAAGTACCGGTGCGGTTCTAAATGGATTTATAGATGTAGGTTATTATTTTAGATCAAACCAGTGTTAGTTAAAAATACTTGTAGGACACGGACATGTGGCTCAGACCTTCAGCTGCAGCTGTAAACACAATTTTCTGTTTTAATTAGCAGCACGATAGTAAACAAAATACAGTGATTTACAATGCTAGCAACAGCAGCTACCTAGTATGACGTGTGTGAGTGACGTATTCAAAACACAGTTCTTCACTGCCTGGAGGAGAGAATTTTGATTTTCTGTAATGATTTATGACTAAATTCCTTAACAAAATGAAAAACTGAACCCAGTTCATATTTATATAGATGGTGAAGTGTGGTTATACTGCATTTCTACAATTTTAATTCAATTCAATTCTAAAATACTTTATTAATCCCAGAGGGAAATTGATTGCTGTAGTAGCTCAGAATAATAATAATAATCAAGTCATCAAAGAGTTATTGTATATTACAATGGCTGTTGGCAGGAAGGATTTCCAGTAGTGGTCAGTGTTGCAGCGAAACTGAAGAAGAATCATCAGGGTTGTCCATCATTTTCTTGATTCTCTGGAGAATCCTTCTTTGCATTATCTCCTCCAGTGGTTCCACAGTCGTCCCCAGAACAGAACCAGCCTTTTTTATTAGGCTGTTGAGCCTTTTCAGGTCCCTGCTTCTGATGCTACTACCCCAACAGACGATGGCTGAAGAGATTACACTCTCAACAACAGACTTGTAGAAGATCTGCAGCATCTTGCTACAGACATTGAAGGACCTAAGCGTCCTCAAGAAGTGCAGTCTGCTGTGTCCCTTCTTGTAAACGGCTTCGCTATTCTTTCTCCAGTCCAGTCTGTTGTCCAGATGAACTCCAAGGTATTTGTATTCCTCAACCACCTCCACTTCTTCACCCATGATGGAAAAGGTGTTTGACTCCACCCATTTTCTTCTGAAGTCTAAAATCATCTCCTTTGTTTTGTTCACATTCAAGGTCAGATGATTGTTTCCACACCATGCCACAAAGCGCTCCACCAGCTCTCTGTACTCAGCTTCCTGTCCATCTCTGACACACCCGACAACTGCAGAGTCTTCTGAATATTTCTGTAGATGACAGGTCTCTGATTTGTACTGGAAGTCTGAGGTGTACAGGGTGAAAAGAAATGGTGAGAGTTAGGGCTGCTCAATTAATCGAATTTTAATCACGATTACGATCTGAGTTTTGGATGATTATAAAAAACAAAACAAGCCGATTATTTGCTCCTCCCGCTTGCGCTGCCCTGAGTTGCAAGCGCTCCTCCCACTGTGTTACCAACTTGGCAACTTTGACACTATTTCTAACAGCTTTTCAGACCCCCTTCTTGACCTTTTAAATCTTAATAATACCTAGTGAACACCTCAGAAACATCTCTCGGAACCCTTTGCTACTTTCTGGATAACTGTCGTCGACATTTTTTGCAGGTTAGCTTACACTCCGCCTGCGCTCCGGACCGTTCTTCACAACATTAAGAAAGGGAATGATGTATGTTGGACTCAGTCAGCTTGTTCCACAGAACTGAGTGCAGAGGGGGGGGGGGGGGGGGGCAGTGGGGCAGTGGAGGCAGGGCAGAAGCCCACACGCACATCCAGAGTCAGGGGCGGAAGTGCTGAGAGTGGGGACCAGTGTGGGCTGCGGGTCAAAGGTTTACACACACACCAAGAGGAGCTGATCTCAGGCCTGTGTGCAGGAGTGGAATGGCAGGTGGTCAAAGGTTTACACAGAGGGAGACTATCTCAGGCTTGATTTATTTTATCAACAAGCCTGAGACTAGTCTCCCTTCAACAGAAAGCCTGTTAATCGTGTTAATAAGCAAAGGGCATTTAATTTGCTTTAACAACATATGTACGCAGATAGGACTTTACAGTCGCCCAAAACATTTTATTGAGGATGTTTTTCTGAAACCAGGTCTGTATGACCGACGTCACCTCGTCTTTAGAAGCACCTGCAGCTGCAGCTGCTGATATCAGAAACGGGGATCCGCACTGCAACCTGAGCAATTAATCCATTCCACATATTTCCAGTAGAGCATGTTTGCTGAGAGATTTGTGCAATAATCACATTTTATTTTACTTCCACAAAATGCTAATTTTACATGAGATATTACGAGAACCGGGGAAGTCTTGCCATCAAATTAGAAATCCGTCCCTTGTTAATTACAAGTCAGGCTGGGCAGCTCACTGGCTGCTTCCAGGCCAGCGACTTTCAAGAGCTACCTGTAGCTTACGACCACCATGTTGGGAGACCCCTGCCATAACACAACTCTCATATGTGTGAATTTAAAGTTACAGCAGTCGGTAATTCACGTTATGTGTTTCTGTTTCCTATAGGTGTTCAACAGATGGTGCAGGTTAAAGAAGATCCTGAAGAACAGAGTGCTGGTGTGGAACAGCAGGACCCAGAACACCTCCACATAAAGGAGGAAAATGAGGAACTCTGGACCAGTCTTACGGGAGAGCATCTCCATTTGAAGGAGGAGACTGATTCTGCCTGGTTTCAATTCAGTGCTGTTTCTATAAAGAGTGAGGATGATGAAGAGAAACCTGTGGTCTCACAGCTTCATCAGCAGGAAATAGAAGACAAAGATGTTCCAACCAGCAGCTCTTCTGACCAGTTGACAGCGGAAACTGGTGGAGGAGCAGGAACTAGCAGGAACCCAGATCTGAACCCTCATGAACAAACATCTGATTCTTCAGAGACTGAAGTTAGTGGAGATGATGATATGAATCTAGACTCTGGGATGTCAGACTCTGGGTCTGAAACTGGAGACGAAGGCCATGACTGGAATGAGAAAAGGTCTTCTGAGTCAGGTGTTAAGTCTGTCAACATATCCTTTAGCTGCCTTGAGTGCGGTGAACGATTTCATGACAAGCAGTTTCTCCAGAAACACGTGAGAGTAACCAGCCATTCAGCAATCAGGTCTTCCAACTCTTTGGGTAATAAGAAATCGGTTAGACTTAAGCAACCCTTAGACTCATATAGGGAAGTCCAGAAAGAACTAAAATCATTTAGTTGTGGTGACTGTGGAAAAATATTTAGTACAAAATCAAGTTTTAACAGACACCAGAGAATCCACACAGGACAGAAACCATTTGCTTGTGAGTTCTGTGGAGAAAGATATGGACAAAAGAAAAATTTATTCAATCACATGAAAGTCCACACAGGACATAAACCTTTTGTCTGTGAGCTCTGTGGACAAACATTTAAACATAAGTCGAATTTAAACGATCACACGAGAGTCCACACAGGACATAAACCATTTGTCTGTGAGCTCTGTGGAAAAAGATTTACCCAAAAGGCAAATTTACACACTCACATGAGAGTCCACACAGGACATAAACCATTTGTCTGTGAGCTCTGTGGAAAAAGATTTACCCAAAAGGTGAATTTAAACACTCACATGAGAGGCCACACAGGTCAGAAGCCTTTTGTCTGTGAACTCTGTGGAAATCAATTTACCCGTAAGTCAAACTTAAACGATCACATGAGAGTCCACACAGGACATGAACCATTTGTCTGTGAGCTCTGTGGACAAAGATTTAAACACAAGTCGGATTTAAATGCTCACATGAGAGTCCACACAGTACAGAACCCTTTAGTCTGTGAGCCCTGTGGACAAAGATTTAAACAAAAGTCAACTTTCAACCGTCACATGAGAGTCCACACAGGACAGAAGCCTTTTGCCTGTGAGCTCTGTGGAAAAAGATTTACCCAAAAGTCGAATTTAAATGCTCACATGAGAGTCCACACAGGAGATAAACCATTTGTCTGTGAGTTCTGTGGACAAAGATATGGACAAAAGAGAAATTTATTCAAGCACATGAGTGTCCACACAGGATAGAAACCGGTTTGTGAGCTCTGTGGACAAATTTAAAGTGACTGTGTGTATTTTCCCTTGCAATAGGGGACAGCACATACATAAATGCAAGCAATTAGTATTTTTGTGTTTGAGTAAGACTTTACCAATGTATGGCTATCAGGGTCAAAAACCTCTGCACTATTCAAACATGTCTTGACAGTTGACAGCAACAGATTCCAAATGCAAATAGCACACTTGAAATGAACTCTAGACCTTTTATCTGCTCATTGTAATAGGGTTAATGAGGGAATAACACACACCTGGCCATGGAACAGCTGAGACGCCAATTGTCCCATTACTTTCTTATGGCACTCGCAGAGTACAGACGCTTCTCTTTTTGCTCCCTTGTCTTTTTTTCCCCAAGGCTCTTTGTCCTGTCTATCCACAGAGCGCTTCTCTGCATTTCTTCTGAAAAACCCTATTTTTTAATGATGGATTTGATTAATTGGTCATTCAACGCGATTGATAAGATCTTTTCAACAATGAGAACGGAGCAGGGGGCTCCCACTTGCCCGCAAGGGACACACCCGGCGGGGTATATGCTCGATTCCTGGAAGGAGTGGAAGATCATATGCCTCTCCCAGCTGTCCATTGAGGATGTCGAAGACGTGTGGATGTTTAGCCTGATGATCACTGGATTTCTTCTGATTGGAGTGGGAGGATATCTGATTTTCTGGAAATTTGGGAAGACGGGAGCGATTGGAGTGCGACCCGCACCCACGGAAAGCACCGTCCGTGTGGAGACCTCACAGACTGGGACGCTACTCGAGGTGAATCGTAAGCTGGACAATGTTTTAGCTGTGATACCAGTATTGGTGCGCAAAATGGATGTCATCTCGGAGAGGGTCACCGGACGGTATGGACAAGTTTAAAAACCAAATTGGCTTCACTGGAGGACTTGAATGATCAGTTTAAAGACTGAAGGCAGAGAGGAAAATTATCTCAGCCTGACCCAAAGTCTTGTTATCCGAATCTGAAGCCATAGCAGCCTTCAAGATGCTAACAACAACCCCCACGAAGGAATGCAGGCAGATGCTGTGAACCTTCCCGCCCCGCCGCCTTCGGATTGGTGGACTTCCGCCTGGTGAGGTCATCAACCTGCAGGAGTCAATGTGCTCTGTGCTCCTCCCAAGATCTCCCTCCCACCTGTGGCTACAGTGACTGAGCGCCGTACATGGCTGCTCTCGCTGGGGAAACAGAATCCCAGCCACCCCCCCTGCCTTCCAATTGGAGTTTCATGTTATGTTGTGATGTGATGTCTGTTGCTTATCTGTTTGAGGTGTTTTATTTTTTTGCAGAGCAAAGCTGCCCTCCTGGTGGGAGAGCAGCTATGAAGTGCCTTTTTTCCCTCCTCCCGAATCAATTCCTCATGTTACCCTCTTATCTCTTTTAAGGTAGCGTGACTCGGGGGTTACGAATGACCACAGTCACCAATTCTTGTCGTGTCTTGCCCATGTATGTCTGATCTCTGAATTGTGTGTACTGAAACTAATTCCCTCTGGGATTTATAAAGTACCTTTGATTTGATTTGATTTTGGTCCCTTAACAAGTGGGAGGCACATATGCTAACCGTTGTAATTCCTACACCATTCACCTGATTTGGATGTAAATACCCTCAAATAAAAGCTGACAGTCTGCAGTTAATGCACATCTTGTTTGTTTCACTTGATATCCATTGATCCATTGTGGTGATGTATAGAGCCAAAAATGTTAGCATTGTGTCGATGTCCCAATATTTATGGACCTGACTGTATCTTTGTCAGAAAATAAGTTCAACTTAAAATGCCAGGAAATTAGTGACGTGAACTCTGGCTCTTTTAATAGAACCGATTCTCATAGCTCAGCTTGTTGTTGTCGTCTTCCTCCGCTTATCCGGGTCGCAGGGGCAGCATCCCAACTAGGTAGCTCCAGACCGTCCTCTCCCCGGCCACCTCCACCATCTCCTCCGGCAGGATCCCAAGGCTTTCCCGGACCAGATTGGAGATGTAACCTCTTCAACGTGTCCTGGGTCGACCCGGGGGCCTCCTGCTAGCAGGACATGCCCGAAACACCTTCCCAGGGAGGCGTCCAGGAGGCATCCTGACCAGAGGCCCAAACCACCTCAACTGACTCCTTTCGATCTGGAGGAGCAGCGGTTCTACTCCGAGTCCCTTCCGAATGTCCGAACTCCTCACCCTTTCTTTAAGGCTGAGCCCGGCCACCCTACAGAGGAAACTCATTTCGGCCGCTTGTATCCACGATCTTTTTCTTTCGGTCATTACCCAAAGCTCATGACCATAGGTGAGGTTTGGGACGTAGATCGACCGGTAAATCGAGAGCCTGGCTTTCTGGCTCAGCTCCCTCTTCACCATGACAAATCGGCTCAGCGTCCGTATCACTGCAGACGCCGAACCAATCCGCCTGTCAATTTCCCGATCCCTCCTACCCTCACTCGTGAACAAGACCCCGAGATACTTAAACCTCCACTTGAGGTAGGACCTCTCTCCCGACCCGGAGTTGGCAAGCCACCCTTTTCCGGTCGAGAACCATGGTCTAAGATTTGGAGGTGCTGATCCTCATCCCAGCCGCTTCACACTCGGCCATGAACCTACCCAGCAAAAGCTGAAGGTCAGAGCTGGATGAAGCTAGGAGGACCACATCATCCGCAAAAAGCAGAGATGAGATTCTCCTGCCACCAAACTCGATACACTCCACACGGTTGCACCTAGAAATTCTGTTCATAAAGGTAATGAACAGAACCGGTGACAAAGGGCAGCCCTGGCGGAGTCCAACCCTCACCGGGAACAGGTCCGACTTACTACCGGCTATGCGGACCAAACTCGCACTCCTCTGGTAAAGGGACTGAATGGCCCTTAACAGAAAGCCACCCACCCCATACCCCTGGAGCGTCCCCCACAGGGTGCCCCTGGGGGCACGGTCATAACCCTTCTCCAAATCCACAAAACACATGTGGATTGGTTGGGCAAACTCCCATGCCCCCTCCATCACCGTTGCAAGGGTATAGAGCTGGTCCACAGTTCCACAGCCAGGATTTTGTACAAATCTGCTGTGAATGCCTTTGAGCCCAATGACATCATTAACAACAAATTAAACATGATCTAAATGATTTGCTGTAAAGTACCGAGTAAGAAATTGTCCAGTGATGCAGCAGTTCAACAGGCGATCTAGATTTAATCAGCTGTCTGTCAGGATGCCTATATCACTAAAGGATGCCTGTATCGGTCATCCAGCTCTGATGTTCACCTGCCTGTAGATCCACACTGGTGGAGCTCAGATCACTCGGGCAAAGGGGAGCTACTTGACATCATCAGTAACACAGCACCCTGCAGAAGTAGGTGACGTTATTAAAAGTAAAATAAAATGATGTGTAACATCAGGGGTGCTGGTTCTGTGTGCGCACGAACCGGTACAAGTGATAACGATGCAGAGGACGAAACAGGTGATCCGCTGCGCAGCAGTAAAACGCATCAGGCACAAATATAAGACAGCAAACATAAAAGGAAATTAGCCGACATAAACGATTGCGTGTTAAATTTGTTTCTGAGGGGACGACACTTTGAGAATGTTACTGTGGCCGTGCTCAGGACGCATCTGTCTGGAGCGCGTCAACCATCAGAGCTCTGCGCCTCTCAGCTGTAAATAATCCCAGCAGAGTCCACATGAATAATATAATATAAATAGAACCAGGATCGTTTTCGGGCTAAAAAAATAGTCTACAGTCCATCTTCCCTAATGTGTTTGTGGCCCTGCGGATTTTTCTAACTCTACCTGCACCTCTCAATGTATGACTCTTTCATACGGATACCGCACCATCAGCTACGTCAGCCCAGATAAGAGCAGAGAAAATGGAGAAAGAATAGAGGATAATTCTGTCTGGATGTGGATGGAGATTACATTTTACAGCAGCCTGATCATCATTTAAATAAACCATCATCTGGCTTCTAGTCCACGCTATCACCATTATTTTATTTGGTGCGTTTGTGTGTGTGTGCGCGCGCGCGTGTGTGAGTGAGTCCTTGGGGGGCTCTAGGACTACAGAAGGCACTACTTCAAATACAGATCATTTACCATTTTGACTAATCTACACAGGGCATAAGAGCCCACCAAGTAACAAAAACTAGAATAAAAATTAAATAAATAAAATTAAAAATTAATTAAACTATCTGAAACTATTAGTTCACAAAAATAACTCATGTCTTATTCGTAATCTCCTTTTTTTTTTTTTTTTTTTTTTTTTGCTAATGGCTAATTTACATTGATGGTAATAATGCTGTTTAAAGCACCGGTGTCGGTACAGGATCGGCTCGGGGTCCTTCGCCTGCCGATGACGTCAAAGTAGTTGATTGGCTGAACATGAAGCTTACGGAAGTTACGTTGTCACGTTATGATTTGGATTGGTCAGAACAAATTTGCGGTCGTAGTCTTAGCGGTTGTAGTCCTGTAGTCCAAAAATCAACAGTTTTTGGAGAAAATTTGTTTGAATTTCTAAAGGAAATGTAAATTATAAGCAAATGATAAACAGTGACCCTCAAAAGCTCTTGATGTTGATTAAATGGGGCAAAATAAAATATAAGAACTTTATTGAAAGACACCAAGCAATATTTTGAATCAAAGAATGTATTTAGATAACAACTAAGGAAATATACAGACGAACTCCACATTAATACAAACAGATGTGGCTTCACATATAAGAACTGTTCTATTTTTTGTCAGTCCGATGTTGGTTTTATGCAGTTTCACATTCTTTACAAAACAAAGATAATCTGGTGTTTTATTAACAAATTACAATTATAAAGAAAACATTTAGGTGTTAACAAACAAGAATTTATTAACAAAACTGCTGATGTCTTTCCAAAACGTGTGTGTGAAAGCCGAGTAGATTTGCAGTAATGTGACGTCATCGGCAGTCGAAGGACCCCGACCCCATCCTGTACCGACACCGGCGTAATAACGAAAGTTATTTCTTTCAGTAACATGTTGTAATGTTTTGTAAATGGTTACTTGTAAGAAATTGTCAATAAAATAAAAAGGTATTCCATACAATGTAATATTCCATATTGAGCCTTTAATATTTGATTGCCGATGAAACTAGGTAATTTGGTTAATCCAGGAAAACAACACTTTATAATAATTAGACACGGAGACAAAAATACAGTTTATAAAAATCTATTTATTACTATATTAATGATGATGAAAGGCAAATGATTATGAATGGTGATTAACAGAGATATCAAATGAGACAAAGAATGAACTCTGGTGAAACACGACCTTTTATATTTAAGAGTTTTTCGAAATGACTCAGAAAGGTGTGATGTCTGGGTTTATAATATCTATTTGCAGTGGCGGCTGGTGAAAAATATTTTTGGTGGGGCTGTGCTATTTTTTTTTTAAACAAACTTGTGCTTTCTGAGCTTTGTGCACAACTTCACTATTTCCTGAATTAAGCACAGCTCTTTTATTTCCTGTCTTACATTATTGGACAAACTGATTAATCCAGGTGTGTCTGACTATTGGCACGCTGCCTTGCGGACCAAGGTTGAAAAATACTGCATTAAATTGCACATAAAATAACATGACCATAAATGGTAAATAGGCAATGCAAGAGGCAAGTAACAAAAACATTTTGTTTAATTTCAACATTTGAGTGAACACGAAAAATTATGAGCAGGTCACTGTTACAGTAATGGTAGTAAACACTACTTAGACAAAATGCCAGAAATTTACACTGTTAGGACTTATGGAAAGTGGAAACACTTTCATAGGAAATAATGTCATCAGTATCCTCTTACAAATGTCATATTTCCCACTTTTTGGGACAAATCAGGAATGTTTTATTGTCCCAAAAGCTGGGAAATTTGTTTGCTGCAGCAGAAGTGTAACAAGTAAAATGGAATCAGACTGATGTATGTACAAATTTACTTGAAATACACATTTACATGATTAAATATGTATAATAGGTATGTGTGTTGAAATTAGTTTTTACAGTTATTGCACATTAAACAATGTACATGTTATTAAACAAATGTCCCGGTTTGTGGGACAACCAAGGATTTCTGATTCTGATTGTCTTGTTTACAGAAATGTAATGTACAGCTTACCTCTGCACCCAGCTGCTGTTCTCCCTGTCCAAACGTCCTCCGTTTCTTTGTTGGCTGCTGCTGCACTGATGCGCTGCATTCCTCAGTCAGAGAATGAATGGAGTCCCCAATGAGACACAAGTTCCACATCCACCTTCTGTGGATCCCAGCCATTTTGAATAACAAACACAGAAAGCAAAATAACGCATTAGCGTGATTGCATCCAGCTAGCCACTGCTTCCTGGTGTACCAATTTTGGGAGAAGCGTCGTGTGTACAGTTTACCCTTCTCCTTGTCCTGCTGGCTTATCTTTACGTCGGGCTGATCTGGTCCAAGCTCTTTGACATTAAGTTTTTCCACCATAGTTCTCCTCTCGAACGGATACTGGAGAAGAGACCGAACTGAATTCAGTGGCTGCTGAGATCCGGTATCCTGGTTGTAGGCTCACTGGCGTCCATGTCTACGTCTGCTCCATGTGCGTCACGAGTCACGACCAAAAACGTGCTGGAGTCGAGACTCTCCGAGCTCCTATATTCATGAAACCAAAGAAGTCCAATTGCCTTCTTTAAAA